GTACCTCTTTATAGGGTTGTTGTGAGGATTAAATGAGATAACCTATAAAACACACTTAGTATAGGGCCTGGTATATAACTAAAAATTCAATCAATGTATACATATTATTAACAGTATATTCACTTTAGAATAAATTCAATATATATTTGAAATAAAAATTCCACCTGTCTAAAAGCAACTGATGCCATAACATTGTTCAAGTTCAGTTCTTTGAACTAGCAAATCATCGTAGATAAATAAATAGAAAATAGCTCTTTTTTTCCTCACTTTATTTCTAGGTCATGAGGGTCGAATTGGCATGGGCTCGATCAAGATGAAGGAGGACCATGAATTTGATGGAAAGAAACTCTTTAAGCACGTTGCTGATTACCTGCCTGCTTATGCCAGACCCCGCTTTATAAGAGTACAGGTGAGACCTCTTCTTCAATCATCCTTCCTCTTGCAGGGCCCTGTATCTTGGAAACAACTCCTCTCCTACTATGGCAACCACAATACCCACATTTTCACTACCCTTTCCAGGCAGCTCAGAAAGAAGTGTCATGGATCAATAAGGAAGAAGAAATATCAGAAAATATAGCTAGCAGAAATGAGTCCAAATTCCTTTCTTCTTAAAAGGACAGCCCAGTTCATTCAGCAACAGTATTAGCAAATAGTTCACTAAATCTGTGTTTGATGAGATATGACAGATATCTAAAATAGAAACACTCTGATCCTGCTACTTGTTGTTTCCAGTTTTAAAGAATGGAAAAATCCTCTGGAGTCCTATACATTTCTGTGGTGTGAAATTTAACTGGGCATCGTTACTCAGAACTACCGAAGGCTTAACTGTCATCGGAAGGGATTTTTTTTTTTTTTTCTTTCTCAAACATTAAGCTTCCCACTTTCAGACTTTGAGTTTAACACTCCCGCTTTCAGACTTTGCATTTAACACTCCCACTTTCAGACTTTGAGAGTAACACTCCCACTTTCAGACTTTAAGCTTTATGATTCTGTATCTGAAGACTTGAGGAAAAAAGTGCTACAATACCAGGTATTGCTGAGATTATAAGGTCATTTCTGTTGATACTCGTAAAGCACTGGCATTTGCTTTGCAACTAGATGGCAGAGAGACATGAAATATCCTCAGATCATCACCTATTAATTGAAGGAGAAACCAGCCCTAACAAACAAGCTGAAAAATCAGAGTTATCTGTGTGTAGGTGATGCCCACCTCCACCATTAATTAGGGTTTTCCAGTAATAACGGAAGCCTCACCAAGCAACATGAGCCACCCCTCTGCTAGAAATTGTACTCACACAAATACTTCATTGTTGGCAACCCCTCACTTCCTAAGGTGATTTTAAAGCTTTAAGGAAATGAAAAATACCTACCCAAGGAGCCCCCTAGTGGAGATTCTGAAAACAGGCTCTATCAGAATCACACAAAACTCGCTTTCACAGCTGTCAAATGAGTCAGAAGGAGCCTTGGTGGCGCAGTGGTTAAGCACTTGGCTGCTAACCATAAGGTGGGCACTTTGAACCCACTAGCCGCTCCATGGGAGAAAACACCTGGCAATCTGCTCCCGTGTAAAGATTACAGGCTAGGAAATCCTGTGGGGCAGTTTTAGGGTCGCTCGGATTTGGAATGGTGTCGAGATCATACAACAACAACAACAAATGAGCCAAAGATGCCAGTGGGTTGCCATTCTCACTGCCCCACTCCTACCCCTCGCCCTGCACTCTAGTCTGTTTACAGAACACTACAACCATGTGGATTGTTGGATGTTTTTCAGGACACTATTGAGATCACTGGAACTTTCAAACATCGCAAAATAACCCTTGTGGAGGAGGGATTTAACCCTGCAGTCATCAAAGATGCCTTGTATTTCTTGGATGACCAAGCAAAAATGTATGTGCCTATGACTGAGGACATTTATAATGCCATAAATGATAAAACTCTGAAACTCTGAATATTCTCAGGAGGACAACTCATAATATTCCCAGAATGAAACTGAATAAGCCTAGTACAGCCACTTGATATAATCCAACTTAAATTTGATTGAAGAGTGTGAGGTGCAGTTTTTCTTAGGAAATTATGCCTACTGATAAAGAAAGATTTTTTTTTTTCTTAAATTACGCCTGAACCTTTGTAAGTGAAAAGATTTAGAGATAATTATTTTTTAATTTGCATCTGCTGTTTGTATTTGCCCACTGAGCTTGCTGGAGGGAGGGGGTTATTTTTTTAAACATATAATAAAATAGATGAACACCAGCATATGAGATGGCACTGTCTCTCGTGTTCTTTCCTGACTTTAAATGCAAACCCTGTGGCAGCTCCTTGAGTCTGACAGCCTCATTGGTAACTTTTCACAAGTGTCCCACTCACAATGGTGATGGTATTCTAGATGAAAATGAGGGGAGGAATGGATCACCAATGGACAACCCAATGGAAATTCAGCTCTAGTATAAGGAGGCAAACTCTCCCTCCATGAGCATCCTGGCTACCATGTACAAACAGCTTTATCCAACAGATGATAATGCCGTCTACAGTCCTGGAAGGAGCCCAAGTCTGTAGCACCAGAGTTCTATGCATAAAAAAGTGTTCAGCAAATATTTTTTAGCTGTATAAAGGGCTGTGTACTCGTGTCCTCAGGATTTCATAGAGAATGTGGATGAGAGAAGCAGGTCACAAATGAATGCAGCAAAATTGGGGACAGTCACTATTCAGCTTCAGTCAGCTGATTACTGGGGGAATACAGGTCAGGTACTGCCAAGTCTTCTGATTATTCAGAAAATAGAAATCTAGCTATATGTGTGAATCTCTCAATGTTTAAAATGTCAAGTCTCAAGATGTTTGAAAACTCCATGCAGGCTTAACAAAATATCCCAGATCTCTGGCGAATACCCCTAGCCCTGCATGGCTGTGGGCGGTACCACACTCTCCTCAGACCTGAGCTGATTTCACATCACAGCCAGTCTCCTGCCTGTGGGAGCCTGTTCAAGGACCTGGACCCTTTGGCATGGCACAGGAGGGTATGGGAACTTCTCCTGAGGCAGATCTTTCAGACAGGGCCTTTCTCCTGACACTCAGCTGCCTTGCTTCTTGTGTACAACTCTTTTTACCTCTGCTTATGTCAGCTGCAAACGGAGTTCCTAGGAGCAGGTCCCTGGTAGCAGCACTAAAGACATGTTCCTTACCTAGAGCTTGTCCTAGGTCACAGGACAAAGTCCTCATCCAAAAAGAGTGACTCAGCTTTACCTTAACCCTGGTGCCCTTCCAGTCTCCCTAGAAGTATTGGAGTTTCCTTCCCTAGAGGACTTCCTCAGTTGATCAGGAGCTGAGTTGACCAGTTCTCTCCCAGTGAAGTCCCCATAAGGCCCAGGAAACACTTCTAGGGATCCTCAAAGATATATGATAAAAGAGTCACCACTCATACCTCTAACATGGCACTAAATTCTTTTTTTTTTTTTAAACTCTCTTCACTCTTTCAGTTGACTTTGGAAAACAATAATAACCAGAATCCCTGCCCCCACTCATTATGCCCAATGGTAAACATTCTCTGAGAGCTTGATAGTCACAACACACTTGAAGATGGCCTAAGGAAAACTCTGGGTGTCTCTGCTTCTTTGTGAATTTGACCAATAATGTAGAACTCCTATTGCTTAGGGGTTAGTACTGGGAATTTGTAAAATTATCTCTACCCTTACTTTATCGATCTGCCAGTGAGAATTTTAACCCAAGTGACGGAAGATAGTATAGCCTTTGAGAGTATCCTGTTGTGTAATTGTGTTACTTGGAATCTTGTCAAAGACAGATTGTAAGCAGTGGTTATGTTAAAGCAATGGGGTCATTCTATGTCGCAAGAGATATCTTTTCGGGTGAGGGGTGGGTCAACACTTGTACCATTAGCTGGATCACTAGGTATTCCAGTACTCAAAGACCACTGGGCCCTGAGGTCCTTTGACTCACGTTTTAGACCTTTCAGTTAGAAACTCGGAAACCTATGCCCTCAATTCTTCCATGCTCCTCCTCCCAGCCTAATGGCTTCCTCAGTCTCCTGCTTCCTCAGTATTCTCTGATTCTGGCCAGGAACCACAGCTCCAAGTAACGGATAGAGGCACCGTGGTAAAAGTATAGTAGCACAATATCCTCAACGCTTGGATTTGAAAGTGTGTGAGTGTGTGCATGTGTAAACAAAATAAGCTGTCACCTGTGGCAGGTGAAAACTTGAAAGACTTTAAAGACTGATTTCTTTTTTTAAAAGGGTCAGAAATTGTGCCCATAGAAATATCTGCACAAATCATCTTCTTCATTTGAAAGTTCAGATGGATATTCAAGAAACCATGAACTGGTATCTGTGTAAATCATTCAGTTGGTTTGATTTCAAATGCATTGTTTGGAAATAGGTAATCAGTGCATAGATGGGGTGCTAAAGGCACCAAATTAATTTGGGGACAAAACTAGAAAACTTCAGCATCAGAAATGGAAGCCATTGAGAATCAGTATAAAAAAGGATAGGTTAGCCAACTGCAGTGACCCACACTAAGAGATGATGTGTTATATGTGTTGCTCATTTGTACTTCCACTCTGCAACATTTAGTGGGTGCCTGTTCTGGACAAAGAGATGTGCTCAGCACTCATGTGATGGAGATTTCCAAGCCTCTATCTAGGAAGTCAGCCCTTACCTCTAAGGAAAGCTGATAGAAAGGCCCCTAGAAGAAATGCCATAGTCCTCTCCATGTGTCTTAACTTTTCTGCGATAATTGTTTTCTCATTACAGTTGGCGGGGCTGCATGAAATCCAGAGAGTCAGCCAACGAGAAAGACAGTGTCACTCAGCATCACCCCAACACTATTCAAGGGGAGGTGGGCTGCCTGGCCAACACAGGTTTTCTAGTCCGCTTGGCCACTGATTCCCCAGAGTGCACAGAGCATCATATTGTACTACACAATGATGATACAATCCATGAATATTATCAATTTCCCTTTGCTCAGATTTCATGCTTCCACGAAACTGTGAAGTCCACGAGGTCAGGGACTGTGTCTGTCTTGCTCATCATTATATCCCTAGTGCCTGGAACATACCCAAAAAAACCCATTGCCGTTGAATCGACCCTATAGGACAGAGTAGAACTACTCTATAGGGTTTTCAAGGAGCAGCTGGTTGATTCAAACTGTTGACCTTTTGGTAAGCGGCCAAGTTCTTAACCGCTGTGCCACCAGGGCTCCCCTGGAACATATTAGGCAATAATTATTTGTTGCCTATTCATCAAGCAATCCTGATAACATCAGGTTCCCCCTGCAAGCTTTTCTATAGGAAGAAAAGAAAAAAAAAAAGACAGCTAAATAGATGACCTGAGTCCTCTGGTTTACGTAGAGCAGTGGTTGTCAGACTGTAGCAATGACAATCACCTGGAAGTCTTTTTAACATTGAGTGCTGGGTTCCATTCTCCAGAGTTGAAATTAGAGTTTGAATTTACATTTCTAACAAATTCCCAGGTGATGCTGATGCAGTTGGGGGGGTACGTTTTGAGAAACACTGACATAGAGAAAAAGCATCCTGAGTTACACATTGTGCTTAATTAGTGCAGTGCGGTTCATCACCTCAGAGCTAGATCATCTCCTATGAACTGATACTCAGATCTCAGATTTAGAGTGACTCAGCTCAGATTCAGGAAGGGCCCAGCATGAAGCAGAAACGCAGCTTCCCTCACTTGGTCATCTTTAGCCTGCAATTGTTCTTAGAAATTCCCATTAATTAACCACTTATACTTATTTACTAAATGGAGTCCCTGTTGTGATTTACTATGGCAAAACCAAAAGCAATCCTAGAGAGTATCTAGTCAAACCTCTTTATTTGATAAAAGAAAAAACTGAGGCCTGGGGGCATTGAACGACATGCTTAAAGTCACAAAGCTAATTAAGCACTAGACTACTAGTCATAAAAGTTGGCAGTTCAAACCTACCCGGAGGCACGTCGGAAGACAGCCTGGCGATCTGCTTCTGAAAGATCACAGTCACGGTCTTGAAAACCCTATGGGGCAGTTTACTCTTTATTCCATGAGTTGGAATCGACTCCACAGCAACTAACAACAACCACCACCACCCACTTTGAGTAGCAAGGGTCTCTAGAGCAGTGGTCTCCAATGTTGCTGCACCTTAGAATCACCTGGGGAGCTTTTAAAAGTCCTGGCTATTTCCTATACCAATTAAGTCAGAATTTCTGGAGGTGGTAGAGAGGCATCAGTATTTTTTTAAAGACCCCCAGGTAATTCCAGCGTGCAGCGAAGTTTGGGAGCCACTAGTAGAGAACAAGCGGCAACATGAGGCCTCAGGCTCTTCATAAAATCAACAACAGAGCCACTCCGTGTAAAAGTGCCACCTAAAATGGGAAGAAAATTTATTTTATAGCCTATGAATTAACCGGAAACCCTGATGGTGTAGTGGTTAAGAGCTCAGCTGCTAACCAAAAGTTTGGCAGTTCAAATCCACCAGGCGCTCCTGGGTAACCCTATGGGGCAGTCCTACTCTGTTCTGTAGGGTCTCTATGAGTCAGAATCGACTCGACAGCCAATGGATTTGGTTTGGGTTTTTTTAGTTTATGAATTAATCATGGTTAAGCTGACTGTGAGCACAGTTTTTGCTCAACTACAGGGTCCAGAAAAAAATGGAAAATGCCCAAGTTCCTCATCTAGAGAGAAAACATTTAAATGTACTAGAGGACCAGAGAGGGGCCTGCTGAACTGTGTGGTATGGTGGGGATAGCATGGCCTTTGAAGATGAGGAGACCTGGGTTTGCCAGTTATAAGCTCTGTGACCTGGGGCCTCAGTTTCCTCATTTATAAACTGTAAACCACAGTGACTGACTTATAATAGATGCTTATGAATATAAGCTCCCTGCCTTCTTCATACTGATACCCAAACTCATTTTATCACAGTTAAATCCAAATATTCAGAATTCTAGAAAGCAGAACCCAGAAGGTACATGCAGTTAAGTTCCAGGACATGCCCTGTGTTGTGGATTGAATTGTGTCCCTAAAAAGATATGCTGAAGTCCTAACCCTTAGTAGCTGTGAAGGTGACCTTGTTTGGAAATAGGGTCTTTGAAGATGTTATTAGTTAACATGAGGTCATCCTGGAGTAGGGTGGGTCCTAATTCAATCTGAGTGTTGTCTTTATAAAAGAGAAGAGAGACAGAGAGAAGACAGCCATGTGATGATGCAGTTTTGCCGTCACTGCAAGCCAAGGAATGCCTGGGGATACCAGAAATCAGGGAAGGTAAAGAAAGGCTCTTCTATTAGAACATGGCCTGCTGACACTCTGAATTCAGACTCTCAGCCTCCAGAACTGTGAGACAATAAATTTCTGTTTTTATAAGCCACCCAATTTGTGGTCCTTTGTTACGACAGCCCTTAGAAACTCTATACCCTCCATTTAGCTTGATTAATCAATGCTTCAGAGGTTAGTTAAGTCACACAAGGATATGCTTTTTCAGAGATAAGCACAATTTATTTGCACATTGTATTTAATGTCACAAGCTGAACCACAGAAGCTTCCTGTCGGTACACTACTCTAAGCTCTTCTTCTGACCAGACTGCTGGAACCTTCTGGACATGCCAGTTTAAACCCTACAACTGTAGCCTGTAGTGGGTTATGAACCTCCTGGAGAATCTGATAAAAATTATGAACTCTCTCCCGAGAAAAATGCACACACATATAGCACACAAGTTTGACATACAATTTTGAGGGGTTCACAGACACCTTGAAGCACATCTATGGACCCTAGCTGAAGACTCCTGGCTTAAACCATGGCCTGCAGAGGGCAGCAGGGCAGCTGGAATCCACACTGAGGGTTGCATTCAGGGAAGCTGGGGACGCTGTAGAACTTAATTAATTTTTTGAAGGCACTTTTCTTCAGCATCATCATCTCTTCTGGAAACCGGGAACAAATTCTAACCCGGGAGAAGCCTCCATTCTTCATGGAGCCATCTGAGGGCAGTGGCTTCTGAGCACTCATGGGTACACTGTTGCAACTGAGGGAACGCACTGTCTTCTTCTTGTTTTGCACAGACAAGTAACTGAACAGGAAAGAGGACAGCTTATGCTTGGTGACATCCGGGGCCTCTTCTGAAAAGCAGTCATCAAGTGGGTCCAGCAGAGTTTCAAGATAGCAGCTGTCTTCCGCCCTTGTAGGACTGGCTCCCACATGTTGAGGCTGCGTGATGATCTTCCCAGTCGGGGCTGGGTCATCTCCTGTCTCACTGACAGACTGAGGGGGCATTCCATTGACCATGACTCTGGTTTGTGGGATAAGGTTCCTAACCCGAGGGCTAGGTTGGGAAGTACAGTGCTGACTCAGGATGAGGGTGGCGGCATCTCTAATGATGTTCCAGTCTCTCAGAATGTCATCCCTGGTGGTAAACTGGGATGTCACAGTGAAACGGATGATCAGCTTGTCCTGGATAGTGGCTGGGATGAGGAAGAGATGGCCAGATCTAGCAATTTCCTTTAACACACTTTCTGTGAGACAATTAGGACCCTGTTTGAAGGATAAAGAGAAGTGAAGTCTGTGTTACATCTCCTGTAAGCATCCCCAGGAGCCCAGCATTTATATTTCCAAGAAGCCCAGCAACCACCACCTCTGTGACACTGAATAACATCATTCACAGGAGGCCATGGAAGATGGCATTACCTTTAGACGAAAAACCACCAGGCCAAGGTGTCTCTTGGCAGGGATTTCAAAGAAAGGGTCATTTCTGACCAAAGATTCAAAATATTTAGCCATTTCAGTACCCTGGAATTGTAAGTATAGAGAGAACTGAGATTAATCATCAGACAAGCAGCAAACTATGCATCAATTTTCACACTACTCAATGGGTTTAAACCAGTGGCTTCATTGAACCATAGAGACCTAAGTGAGTTTTGCCTGTTCATTTTCTCCATTTGGTTTGGCTCCTATTCCAAGACGGAAAACCTCCAATGGCTCCCTATTTCTTGTCACATCAGATCCACCTTGTGAACCTGTGTCTCAGGACCCTCTTCTGGCTCACCCCAAAACCAGAAGGCATGTATTTTGCAATCCAGGCAATATGACTTCAAATCCCAGCTTCACAGCTCTTTGACTGGCTACGGGGCAAGCGAGGGCCAAAACCCAGCCTGTGCTCTGTGTTCCCACCAGGTGTCCTGAGTGGGCTGTGTCTGCCCAGAGGAAGAGACACTTGTTTTTAGTGCACACAAAGGTGCTATATGGGCCACTGACAGCCCTGTCCCCATTCCGAGACTTCACGTTTCCCTTGTCTCTCAAACCTTTCCACATCTTGTGGCTCAAATGCCCTCACATCTCCTTTTTCCAGACATTTCACAGAAACCATATTTTTTTACGTATCATCCCACATACACATTGAGAAGGCTCTGCACCATATTCATTTTTCACTGTTTATCCATCTTTTAAAGTTTCCCATGTCTTTTTTTAACCTAAGATTATTAACTAAACAAGGATAGGACTTGCTTTTTCTTCCTTTTTAAAAAATTTCTCCAAGCATCCAGAAGGATCGCAATAAAATAAAATAATTGCTATCAACTGTTTTTCATACCTATTAATATATTTCTAGGGGTCCCTGCGTGGTGCAAACAGTTAATGCACTTGGCTGCTAAGGGAAAGGTTGGAGATTCAAGTCCACCCAGAGGTGCCTCAAATGAATAGCCTGGAGATCTACTTCTGAATAATCAACCACTGCAAACTCTATGGGGCACAGCTCTACTCTGACACATACAGGGTCGCCATGAGACAGAGTCAACTCATGGCAACTGTTTTTTGTTTTTGTGTTTTGTTTTGTTTTGTTTACTGTATCTCAAGAGAAGGCAAGGGATTTAGCTAACGACGCCTGAGGATGATGAAATAAGATGCTACAAACTTCATTCAGAACCCCCTTCTTTCTTTCTCCACGGCATGATCTGTTTAGAAGTCTCCAATCACTGTACCAAGAACTTTTCATTTTTAAGTCCTAAGCCTGTCTCTGGGAAAGTAACTTTCTTAATGTTTTCTGGCTGTTTTATACTTTTTCAATTCATTTTCTAATTCTGTCCTGATTCTCTTCTTTATCTCCATCCCTCTGGGCCCGTTTCCATCCACCTGCCCTGTCAACTTTGATATTTTTCTGAGCAAATTTTCTTAAATCCCCTTGAGGCTCGTTAAGGAGACATCTTAGGTACAGCCCTAGAATCAGTCTCGCTAAGGGCAACAAAACTGACTCTTTTGAGCAAGGAAAGAGATTCAGAAGTCATCTTTGTTCAACTTTTTCTTTTTCTCAGAGCAGCCAAGGGAAAGTGACTTGCCCAAGGCACAAGTGGCAGAATGCAGGTCTCCTGGTTGCCAAACAGATTCTCCTCCCACAGCACATGCTATTTGCAACAAGATAGAAGTAGACGCCAGGGACTGGACTGTGGGACATAAAGTGATACTCTTGAAGAGTGTGCTTCTTAGTCAAGTAGATACAAGAGACCAAAGGGGCAGCTTCTGTCCAGAGGTGAGATGGGAAGGCAGAGAGAGTTAGGAGCTGGTTGAATGGACATGGGGAATCGGGTAGAAATGAGGAGTGTGCTGTCGCAGAATAGGGTGAGCAATTAGGGTCTCATAACAATGTATGTATAAAAATTTTGTATGGGAGACTAACTTGAAATGTAAACTTCATTTAACTACAACAATAAAAAATAAAATGGCCTAGGAACCCAGACCAGGGCCACGTTAGGAAAAAAAAAAAAGAAGCAGAGGCCAGAGGAGAAGGGAAACAGAATTCAGACAGGGCCTCCACCACAAAAAATATAGCCTCATGGGTGATGACAGCAGTGCTGCTGCCAGTGCCCTGCACCTTTCTAGGTCAAAGGTCAACAAACTACAGCCCACAGACCAAAACTGACTGACAACTGCTTTTGTAAATAAGATTTTATTGGAACACAGTCAAGCCCATCTATTTACAAATCATCTAGGGCCACATTTGTGCTGCAACAGCAAAGCTGAGTAGTTACAGCAGACACTATCTGCCCTGCAAAGCCAAAAATATTTACTATCTGGCCTTTTACAGAAAAAGTTTGCCAGTTCCTACTGTGGATGATAGATGATGATGATGACTCTGACAATAATGATGATGGTGATGATAACAAGAAGAAGGTGGAGGAGAAGAGGAGGTGAAGGCAAAGAAGAAGCATTCATTGAGTGATACTAAGGGCTTTGTATGTATTATCTCATTTAATCCTTTCCTTAAACTTTTGATAGAGGTACTATCATGTTTGCATTTTACAGATTAGGAAACTAAACACAGAAATGTTAAGTAATTTGTTGAAGGTCACCAAATAGTATGGGAGGAGAATTAAAACTCCAACCCAGAGCCTGTTCTCTAAAGCACAACCCTATAGCAGAGAAATACAAAACCCGGTCTTATATAGACTTCAAGAGCTCAGTGTAATAGAAGGCAGTCCAGGATTGTGGGAAAAGAATTTAGAATTGGGAAGCTAGGGATAAAGTCCCAGGCCTTTCACTCTTGAGCAGGGCAATTACCATCTCTGAACCTCACCTGTAAAATGCGGCTGATCATGATGACCACCCCAAGCACGGTTGTAAGTATCTACTAAAATACTATAATTTAATTTTTTAATTTAAAGCACTATGCAAGTACCAATAATGATGATTACTGTTGAGTTTAAAGGAGGAAATTAACTCCCATGAAATAACTTACTTTTAATTCTACTCCTTACTATTGAGGGACCTTGGATAAGTTCACCTCCTGAACTGTTTTGTAAGCATTTTTGAGTAGATGATCCTACGAATACCAGAGAAGCAGAGGCCCGGACAGATAGAATAGTCAAGGAAGCTTCTGTCCATGAACAACATTTGGAGAGGCAGAGGGGGCATTCTAGGAAGGGAACCACACAGGTCTTATGCAGAGGCAGACGGAGTGTGGGGTTTGAACAAGTCAGGGAGAAGCCCAAGCTGACTCGACCTGACTGAAGCTAATGTGGTGGTGTTGTTGTTAGGTGCTACTGAGTCGATTTTAAACTCATAGTGACCCCATGTGACAGAGTAGAACTGTCCCATAGGGTTTTCTAGACATTGATCTTTACAGGAAGAGATAGTCAGGTCTTTCTCCCCCAGAGCCGCTGGGTGGGTTTGAACAGCCAACCTTTCAGTTAGCAGCTGAGTGCTTAAACATTGAGCCATCATGGCTCCTTGAAGTTAAAGTAGAGACTGATAATCAGGCTGGTGAAAGCCAGGCCCAGGAGTGTGGGTCTAATGAGGTGGGCAGTGGGAAGCTGATGGGAATTCATGGTGTGACTAGCAAGAGGTAATGTTTGGGAAGATTAGCAAGGACCTGCACATTGAAGATCCAGTCCTGAGTTGTAAGCAAAAGAATGTTCCTTATTACTTGTAACCTCCACCACCTCATTCGCCTCCCACTACACTAAGGTCTTAAATTGAACTCATGGCTCCCACGTCTAAGGATATAAAGAGAGCACAAAGTGACTCCAGTCCATCCATACACTGGGCAACAGCCCCACCCATGGGTAAACAGTCAGTGAACACCTTGACGTCTGTTATAAATGTGAAATTACCAACAGTAAAGCTGGTCGTGGTTACTGCTTCAAGCATTTCATTTTGTTGTGTGTTTGTTTAATGAAGAAGGAATTCCTTCAAGGAAATGTAGAAGGGGAAAGACAGGCATAGTGATAAAGGACAGTACCTCTGGGTTTACCCTGACCAGGTTGTTCATTGCTGCTTCTATCAGTGGCTTTGTCTTTAACATAGGCTCATATGAAAATGGGAGAAGAATACTGCTGGATGAAGTTCTTGAATTAAGTCCCGCCTCTCCCAAGAAGAGTGCAGAGCCAAGACTGTGTTTGCCTCCTTTGCCTCTGTGTCCCTTTCCTAGCACAGTCATTTCATTGTTTTTGTTGAATTGAATTAAAATAAATTGTACCAAAAAAGACCTTCAATAAATACTTGTTGACACAATGCAGGGATATTTGTTCCAGACTTCGTAGGTCTGGAGACAGGAGAGACCCATGTTTCAGGCATGGCCATAATTTAAAAAAAAAAAAGTTGCAGTCAAGTCTATTCTAACTCATTTTGATCCCATGTGTGTCAGAGTAGAACTGTGCTCCATAGGGTTTTCAGTGGCTGATTTTCAGAAGTAGATCACCAGGCATTTCTTCTGAGGTACCTGTGGGTGGACCCGAACCTCCAACATCTGAGCTAGCAGCTGAGTGTGTGAACCGTTTGCACTAGCCAGGGACTCCTATGGCTGTAATAGTGACTAAACTTTTCAGACACTCATGACAATCAGGATGAGTCTTAAAAAGATGTGATTCTAGCCTGGTCACACACACTGCCCTTTGATTACTTTCTCTTTCTCCCTCTCTGCAAACCTGGTTCTTGGGCCATCAGTCCCCAGTACTCAATGACAGAGGAAGAAATGATGAGGCATTCAGAGAGGATAGACACTAGACGGCCGTTGGTGTCACATTCTGCTCAGTGTTCCTCTGTCTAACAAAGAGATGGTCACCTGAGTAATCAAGCCCCAGGAGCTCAAGAACAGGCCCAGACACCTGAGACAGATGCCATGCGTCCCTTGGGCAGGTCTGCGAAGCAGAGACTGGCCTTCCTCCCCATTAGAAAGCAGAGCAACACGCAAGCTCAGCCCCACAGTCTGCACGCTACATACATGTCTGACGTGTGCCTGAAGACTCTTCACCCCGAAGGACCGAATCACGAACCAGAGTTTAATAGAGCGAAACCGCCGGCTCAGAGGGATCTGCCAGTGCTGGAAACGAACACAATGTGCAGAGTTAGAGACGAGATGCCCTGCTCCTTCAGACGCTCCTGGACATGATCAGTTGCTTGCCCAAACCTCCAGGGATGGATGGTGTCACCATGACTCCTGAAGCTGTTGCTAAGGAGGAAGCCAAGGCAAGTTACCCAAAGGCTACCCATCCTGTGACCAAATCACTGAAGCAGGTGGCCAAAAGGGCCTTGTCAAAGAATGGGACAGGTAAGGACAAGTCTATAGCCTTACAGCAAGGGAAGAGCACTTTGCTTTAAATGCTGCTTTAAACATTTTATCCCAGCCCTGAAATTTAAGGTAGGCCTGTAATTTTTTCTTTAGATGAACCTACATTCCTTGAATAGCAGAAAATGAAGTTCTGTTTTTATATCCCCTCAAAATGTAAAGTTGTTAAGAGCTCAGACCCTGGATCCCACAGACTTGGGATTCTCCTCCAGCTCTACCACTTACTGGCTGTGTGACCTTGAGCAGTGGAGCCTCAGTGGCTCCTCCATGACCCAGGAGAGCAAACAGCACCCCCAGGGAAGCGGTGTGAAGCTAACAGATCTAAAGGGCTTCAGAGTGAGGTGTCAGTAATTGTTGGCTACTCAGATGGTAAAAGTGTGAGCTATAAATCACAGCAGTACTTCTGTCTGCACCACCCATTTGTAAGTTTGTCATACTATGGTGGCTTGCATGTTGCTATGATGCTGGAAGCTATGTCACTGTTACTTCACATACTAGTTGGGTCACCCACGGTAGACAGGTTTCAGTGGAGATTCTAGACTAAGACAGGCTAGGAAGAAAGTCCTGACAATCTCCTTCAAAAAAATCGCCAATGAAAACCCTTTGGAGTACAAGAGAATATTGTCCAATATAATGCTGGCAGATGAGCCACCTAGGTTGGAAGGCACTACGCAATAGCCACAATAATGGACTCAAACATACCAACAATCATGAAGATGGCACAGGACCAGGCAGTGTTTTGTTGTGTTATACATAAGGTTGCTGTGAGTCAGAGCTAACTCAATGGCAACTAACAACAATTTCTGTCTAGAGCCGACATGGTCATTATTTAATCCCACTGTCCTGTCCTGACCTTTGTTTGCCTGTGACATTCCTGTGCCCTTAGGAGGTATCACTCTAGCTTTCAGATTTCAAATGAGCATCTCAATCTCTGCTTCTGACCTAGACACCGTGACACTAATATTGACCCTTTGTTCAAGTGACCAAATTCAACACAGCTTAAAGTTCAAGGTTGCAGTCACCATAGACCTGAAAGATTTCAAACCGATTTCTCAGATCTGAAAATAGACCAAAGGGCTTGGAAAATATTTGCAGTTATTCTGATGTGTAATGTGGTTTCCAATAACCTCGCCCTTGAATGTGAGAAAGCTTCTACCAGTTTCTGTTGACTGCAAATAAATATTTGCCCCACTGAATATTTTTCTGCCTGTCCACAGAATTGCCAAATCCTCACAATTTCCTCACCTCCATCCTTCACCTCTGTTTTTCCTGACCTAAGCACAGTTGAGACATTGCCCCTTTGTTGACTGACAATGTTTCTCCCACATAAAAATACTAAGCCTTTGAGGACCAACCTGAGGACTTTGGTTTGCCGGCAGAGGGCACCAAAACCTGGAAACAGAACAAAATCCCCATCCCAGAGAAAACGTCAACTCTACCTCTTGTCAGATGGACACTCTGGGAGGAATAATGAATGGATAAACCAAAAACCAAACCCGTTGCCATCAAGTCAATTCCGACTCATATAACGGAGAGCTTCTCTGGAAACATTCTTGCTTCCAGATGGCTATGGCTAATTGACTACTTTAGTTTACCAGCAAATTAACAGAGAGACACAGACACAATTTTAATTTTGATTTCTTCACAATGTGTCCTTATCCTCTGTTGTTCCTCTTCTGTCACTAGTCCAGAACTGATCCAAACTGATCCAGAGGGTGATTCCAGCCAACATTTTCCATTGGAATAGGAAACTTGGATTCATAAAGGCTGACGTGGCTCTTCTTTAACTTGAGTTATTCTCAGGCCTCCTCTGTGTCCTTTCAACAATAAGCACAGTTTGGCAGGTGCCCCCTTCAAGCACAAGACAAAGCCATCCACAAAAGCTCTCTCCCTCAGTGCCTTTGGGAGTGAGGGTATATGGAGCTTTCCTGATGTCAGAGAATCCAACCCTGATTTTGGTGACTCCAGAGCCCCAGGGATTAAGTACCTAAGTCTTCCCTCCCAGGACTGCTGAGCAGTGCTAAGCTTCTACTTTCAGCTACAGCCACCTGAGTGAAAAAAGAGCCCAGGGCATGGGTCAGAGCAGCAGGAAAGACTCCCAGGACCACAACAAAGACAGAAGCTTCAGTTTTCTAAGAGTTTCTTCATGGACTTGAAAATTAAACCCACAAGATTAGAGGAGGGTGAAGAATAAGCATAAAGCAGTACTTTCTGGATATAGAAGTAAAAAAAATAAGGGCCCCAGGACCAGTGGTGAAATGAGTTGAATTTAATTTTTTATCAGTCATCTGGAAGAGAGGAAGTACTATAAAATCTCCAAACTAATGGGGACAAACTACAAGAAGATCTTGAGATATTACTGTGAGTGAACAAAAAGAGTAATATGAAATTCAAAATGGGTGAGGGGAAGATAACACTCTTACGTTATGATGATCCAAATATAATTACAGGAGAATGGGCGTCATTTAACCCTCAGGAAAAAAAATTGTAGGATTGTCTCCAAAGATATCTAATTCTTGGGCTACTGTGGAGATTTTTTTTTTTAAACTAAAAATTGCTGAAAACCCATCAGAAAGCTTGTTGTTGTTAGGTGTGGTTAAGTCGGTTCCGACTCATAGCCAACCCCACGTACAGCAGAACGAAACACTGCCCAGTCCTGCACCATCCTCACAATCATTGTTGGGTTTGAGCCCATTGTTGCAGCCACTGTGTCAATCCACCTCATTGAGAGTCTTCCTCTTTTACAATGACCCTCTACTTTACCAAGCATGATGTCTGTCTTCATTATCTAGTGCTGCTGTAACAGAAATACCACAAGGGATGGCTTTAACAAAGAGAAATTTATTTTCTCACAGTCTAGTAGGCTACAAGTCCAAATTTAGGGCATCAGCTCCATGGGAAGTCTTTCTCTCTCTGATGGCTCTGGAGGAAGGTCCTTCTCCTCGTCTTCCCCTGGACTAGGAGCTTCTCCACGCAGGAACCCCAGGTTCAAAGGATGCGCTCTGCTCCCAGCATTGCTTTCTTGGTGGTGTGAAGTCCCCCTGTCTCTCTGCTCACTTCTCTCTTTTATATCTCAAAAGAGATTGGCTCAAGACACAATCCAATCTTGTAGATTGAGTCTTGCCTCATTAACATAACTACTGCCTATCTCACCTCATTAACATCATAGAGGTAGGATTTACAGCACATAGGAAAATCACATCAGATAACAAAATGGTGGACAATCACAATACTGGGAATCATGGTCTAGCCAAATTGATACACATATTTTTTGGGGACACAATTCAATCCATGACAATGTCCTTCTCCAAGGACTGATCCTTCCTGATAACATGTCCAAAGTATGTGAGACATAGTCTCACCGTCCTTGCTTCTAAGGAGCATTCTGGCTGTACTTCTTCCAAGACAGACTTGTTAGTTATTTTGGCAGTCCATGGTAATGGTAGTGGCAATGAAAGAACAATTATTCTTCTATTTGTATCCACCTATGGAGGGTCCTCCTTCACCATGACAAGCTTACTATCTGCAGTTCCAATCAAAAAGCTTCAAAACTCTAAAGGAAACTTGAACTGGTATGAGGAAGAATAACCAATATAATCAAGAAGTGATGGAGCTGTTATTTTAGGACTAAATGAGCAAGAAAGATAAGACAAGTTGGCCAAGGAGATAAGACAAAACCTTCTCTTTACAAAGAATGACTTTCCTAGGTGCCAGGCATTGCTCTCATTGTTTCACTGTATTAATTCTTCCAATCCTCTCAACAAGCCTAAGAATCTGACACTATTATTATTACCCCTATTTTACAGATGAGGAAAGCTAGACACAGCGTGTTTAAGTAATTTGCCCAAGGCCACACAAATTAGTAAATCGAAGAACCAGGATTCAAACCCAAGTCATCCAGCTTTAGTGCCTACATGTTTAACCACTTTGCAGCTTAAAAGAAGAGCTTTTAGGAATGTTAGGGCTACCATTTATTGAGTTATTTACCATGCTGCCAGTATTGTGCTAAGTGATCTATGTGTACATTTCCATTTACTCCTTACAATACCCTATCAAATCAGGGCCACCATGCCCATTTTACAGATGAGGAAGCGAAGGCTCAGAGAAGGCCAATAAATTTCCTAAAGGCCCACTAAAACCAAACCAAACCCTTTGCTGTCGAGCCAATTCCTACTCATAGCGACCCTATAGGACAGAGTAGAACTACCCCATAGGGTTTCCAAGGAGAGGCTGGTGGATTCAAACAGCCAACTTTTTCGTTAGCAGCCTAATGCTTAACCACTGCACCACCAGGGCTCTTCCAAACCGAGCTTGATGCACTCTGACCAGCTGCCTCCCGTGGCCATGTTCCATGTGACATATTTGTTTATAACTGTGTCTTCTCTACAACTAAAAGAAGGACTCATCTTCAAACTGAGTAAATCTGGAGAACTTGTTTCCCTAGGAGATAATACAGGCTGAGAATGTGGACAGGAAAAAGAGAGTTTAGGTGCAGCTAGTTGGGAAGACCAGGAACATTTGGAGGCACCAGTACCTCAGGAATGGTACTCGTGCCCCACACCTGCTACAAAGCATCCCACAGTGCCTCTATCAGGGGCAAGAAATTAAAACAATTTAAGCATAGGGCCACTATCCCAACACAAGGAAATTCTCCACCCTTTCCTGACTCTGGGCAGTAAGCAGAAAAGATTAACCAAGATAGAGGCAGAAGGAAATTGGTCCACTAGGGTAGGGAGACTTGAACTGGGAATAAAAATGCAATATATATTTGGGAAATGTGAATAGTGTGAGATCAATTCTGAATCAAATGTTGGTCTAATTTTCTGAGGTTTTAACTGTTTTCTGGGCTTCATTCTATATGCTTAGGTACAACTGAAACAAAGGGTATATGGTAGCAATATTATGGGATGGGCTCATAGCATGCCTTGTTCCAATGGAAGCTGACATGCAGGAGAGCCTTGGTGGGCAGATGCAGCCAGTCTCAGACTTGAGGGCCCTCTTAGGGGCCTGCCAGCTGTCCATTCCCTGGCCACTCACCATGAAGTCTGTGGCCGCACCTGAGTTGGCGTGCCTGAGGTAGATGGGGTTCACGCTGAAGGTCTGCTGCAGCTTGTACTTGTCCTTGACCCTGTGGGATTCCAAAGGGGCATTAGTGGCTGAGGCCTCTCCAGAGAAAGTAAGGCTTTCCCACATGCTTGGAGCTTGGCTGCATGCTCACCAGAACCCAGTACAGTCAAAGTGCACCATCATCCACTTGGAAGGATTAAAGGTGAAGGAATCGGCATACTCGATGCCCTTCAGAAACCCCCGGAACTCGGGGCACAGGAAGGCAGTGCCCGCATAGGCAGCATCGATGTGGAGCCACAGCCCCTCTCTGGCACCTGAGGAGATGAAGGTCACATGGCTGAGGGTTTTAGAGTGCAACCAGCTGGCCGAAAGGCTTCTCTGACCTGACCAAGCTGGATGGTGTGCTGCAAAGAGAAAAGCTTAGAATGAATGGCCTGCTTGAGGTGAAAAGACCTGTGAGGAAGTGGGCTGAATGAGGGGCCTCTACCTCCTCACTAGGAACATACCAAGCTTTCCCCTGGCCTTTTTTCTCTCACCAGGGTCAACATCCTCTTAGCCTCCATAGAAATTCCTGCTACAGAAAACAGCTTCCCACTGGCCCAGAGAGCAATGTTAGTGCATCTAGTACAAAGTCAGAGAGAGAACGTCTCCCTTGCTAGTGGGTGTCTTGTTTAGGGATTTTGAACTGTCCCGTTTGGGCTTCTTCTCCACCTTTATCTCCCTCCCCCTCATAATTTCTCCAATCCTTCCCTTTTCCCAAGGAGCCTTGGTGGCACATTGGTTAAGTCGCTCAGCTGCTAACCAAAAGGTCGGCACTTCAAACCTACCAGCTGCTCCTTGGGAGAAAGATGTGGCAACCTGCTTCTGTAAGGATTTACAGCCTTAGAAACCCCATGGGGCAGTTCTACCCTGTCCTATAGGGTTGCCATGAGTCGGAATTGACTTGACAGCAGTGGGTGGGTTCTGTTTTCCTTTTCTTAACCTAGAATAGAAAATACTTCATGTGGCTTCATTCACCTTGTGTTTTGGACATCTTGAAGTGGGTTTTGACATATAAGTGAGAAGGTGAGAACACCGGGGGCAGGGGGTGCCTCTCCCACTATTGCCTTCTAGACGGGATACAAGGTAGGGCAGTTCTAACCCTTGGTCAGACCATCAGGAAAGGCAGTGACTTGGGCTGACTGGGAGAAGACCCTTGTGATCTTCAGTGGCTCTTCCCGTGTTCTCCACATTGACCAAAGAGGTACCAGAATAATTGCACCAAGCTGGTTTCAGGTTCTTGCTCTAGGGAAATGCATTACTTGTCTTCCTAAGCAAACATGGCAGATACTTACAGATGGGGCCCAACTCTGACAGGCAGTCAAATGCACAGACCCCTGTGGTCCCTAGTGTTGCACAGACCTGGGGGGAAATAAAGGCACATTAATGTGGGAAGGTCATCTCATATTACATGTGTCACCTGAAAAAAAGATCTAACCACAGATATTACCTACTCCACCCATACCACTAGAGCAGTGCGTATTTCACACTATTTTTTATCATGACCCACAGTAAGAAATACATTTTATATTGTAACCTAGTTCATATATACGTGTATTTGTAATAAAAGTTTCATGAAATTATACATAACCTGGGCTACATGAATACACTCTGATATTTTTCTCTCTCTCTCTCTCTCTTTTAATGCTGGTTATGACTCACAAATGTATTTCACAACACACCAATGAATGTTGTTGTTGTTGTTAGGTGCCGTCTAGTCAGTTCCCACTCATAGCGACCCTATGTACAACAGAGCGAAACACTGCCCGGTCCTGCACCATCCTCACAATCATTTTTATACTTGAGCCCACTGTTGCAGCCACTGCATCAATCCATCTCCTTGAGGCTCTTCCTCTTTTTCGCTGACCCTCTACTCTACCAAGCATGATGTCCTTCTCCAGGGACTGATCCCTCCTGATAACATGTCCAAAGTATGTGAGACGTAGTCTCGTCATCCTTGCTTCTAAGGAGCATTCTGGTTGTACTTCTTCCAAGACAGACTTGTTAGTTATTTTGAAAGTCCATGGTATATTCAATATTATTCACCAACACCACAATTCAAAGGCATCAATTCTTCTTCGGTCTTCCTTATTCATTGTCCAGCTTTCACAGGCATAGAAAGCAATTGAAAATACCATGGCTTGGATCCAGCGCACCTTAGTCTTCAAGGTGACATCTTTCCTTTTCAACAATTTAAAGAGAGCTTTTGTAGCAGATTTGCCCAATGCAATGCGTCTTGAGTTTTTGACTGCTGCTTCCATGGGTGTTGATTGCAGATCCAAGTAAAATGAAATCCTTGACCATCTTTTCTTTGTTTATCATGATGTTGCTTATTCGTCCATTAGTGAGGATTTTTGTTTTCTTTATGTCGAGGTGTAATCCATACTGAAGCCTGTGGTCTTTGATCTTTATCAGTAAGTGCTTCAAGTCGTCCTCACTTTCAGCAAGTAAGGTTGTGTCATCTGCATAAGACAGGTTGTTAATGAGCCTTCCTCCAATCCTGATCCCTGTTCTTCTTCATATAGTCCAGCTTCTCAGATTATTTGCTCAGCATACAGATTGAATAAGTATGGTGAAAGGATACAACCCTGACACACATCTTTCGTGACTTTAACCAAAGCAGTATCCCCTTGTTCTGTTCAAACGACTCCCTCTTGATCTATGTACAGGTTCCTCATGAGCACAGTTAAGTGTTCTGGAATTCCCATTCTTCACAATGTTATCCAATGAATAGCAGCTCATAATTTGTAAAACATTGTATTTGAGGACCTTCCTGGGTTTGTTTATAGCAAGTTACTTACCTGATTTCTGTCAAAATTCCTTCCTCCTCTCCAAGTTCTATCCCTCTAAGCTTACGAATACATCCCGACTTACAAAGACAGGCACCAAGCCCTGATCTTTGTCCTCCTCAATGGCTTTCTGAAGAGTGTCACCTCGGAGGGAGAAGTTGTCATCCACAGGCAGAAATCTCATCTTCACAAGAGAAATCAAACCAGCCTTTTCCACTGAGGAGTGGGCCTAGAAGGACCATAGAAACCTATTAACAAAGAAGTGTCCTGCGGTGAGCACGCCCCAGAAACAGCTGACTCGTAGCACTAAGGGAACCAGATATAAACATTTGAATTTTGCCTTCCTCTGTAGTTACTGGAGGAACCCCTGGGTGGTGCAGATGGTTAGCATGCTTAGACGTTAACAGAAAAGTTGGAGGTTCGAGTCCACCCAGAGGTGTCTTGGAAGAAAGGCCTGGTGATCTACTTCCAAAAAATCAGCCATTGAAAACTCTTACAGGGTACAGTTTTACTCTGACAAAACAGGATTGCCATGAGTTGGAATCCACTTGACAACAACTGGGTTTGTTGTTGTTTTTATATAATTCCTGGAGACAAACTCCAAGGCTTAAACTGTCCTGAACCCCATCATAATCATGTCTAGAAAAAAACTACTCAAGGACTGAAGACTCCAGAAGCCAGGGGGCTCAGGAAGTCACGTGCTGACCTGAGGTTTGTCCTGCGTTGGGCACTCACCTGGTCAGAGGCGTAGGCAATGAGTTGGGCATTCAGGAAGGAGTCATCAGCATCGGGCTCAGATGTTTTCATTTCCAGGATTTTGTTCTTCCTTGCTGCCAGCAAAGCTATCAAGGTTGACTCACTGACTGTGCTCTATAATGTAAGTAGGATCACCAAT